TTACTTGCAGAAAGTTCAGCCACACAAGCAAGCGATCTCATAGACACGCAGTGCGCGGATGTTGTACGTGCTCATCTCCGGGCAGGGGTGTAGCAGCGTAAAATGAGCTCAGAAGAGAAAGAGGGCGGGAAGGGAGGCCTAGTGTCGTAACATGCCCACAAATAACGCCAGCAAATAAATGTTTCCCCGGCTTGGCCTCCAATTTGTCTCAAAACTGGGGGAGGGTTTGAAACCACTACACCCCTGTCTCTGGGCCACGCTGCAATGGTTTGCAATGCCGAGAAACACCAGCATCTGAGATGCCTGGGTAAGGGCGAGACGGCCTCCCGATTCTGCCCTGAGGAACTCAAAAAAGTTGTTGCAATAAAGGTGACATATCGTTTGTTTTTCCTGGAAGTCAGAGCTAGTATGATTAAACGCACCCAAAGGACTTGGCCGCGGCAGCCCAAACCCCTGGAGCTTGTATATCTTGCGGGCATGAGCTGGTCACCGCCGTGAGTATGAGTAAGCTGACGTGAGCTTACCCACTTTGCGGAAAGGCTAAACCTTTTTTATTTTTTCAAAGACTCCGGCACGCCTGTTGCTCACGAGCGATGCCTGTTTTCACCCCTGTCATGTAGGCGGTGGAGTCGCCACAGAAAGTGGCAGCACCGACTGAGAGCGAGAAAGAATGAAATCAGGTCGAAGGCGGCTGATGGTCGCACCATTGTCCGGCGTTTGCCGCGTCCGTGGACATGACGGCGCACCACCCATCTCTGGTCGCCAGTATGAAAGCGGACGGTCCCGGGAACAGGCTGGCAGAGGCCAGACTGTCCAGGCCGCTATCTTGTCCACTAGGCGAGCGGCAGCTACTGGGCACCTCGGGTGGAAGGTTGGAGCTCACTCGACGCCAAAGGTCGGGCCGCCCTCGCCTCATGTGCGTGCAGAGGCTCACGAGGTACAGTCCGATAGCGGCTGGGTTTCCTCCGCTGCTGCTGTGCGCTCCAGGTAAGCACAAGATCCAGGTTATCACAATATCCAGGTAAGCACAATATCCGGGTAAGCACGAAATCAAGATTGGGAGCACCCGGTTCGGAGATAGAAGTCCGCCTCATGCCCGATTCATTGAGTGTCGACAACGTTTCCCGGAGAAAAAGTCAAATGGAAAAAATCGTTTGGAGGAAAGTCGAATAGAATTCGAACGGGGCCGCTCGCTTTGACCCGGCAAACGCTCCCGGCGGCACCCAGCATTCGCGCCTCCATGACCGAACCATGCGCAGCGCGTCCTGAGCCTATCAGGTGGGAGATTTGCTATGAGCACTATGCTGTACTCTGTCCACGCTCCTGAAAACTTCCTCTCTAACCATTGCTTGACTGGGACGGTGTCCAGCTAGCAGGTGGTGGGAGACGGCAGACGACGGAGACGGGAGACGCGCACGACGGGAGACGACGGAGACGGGAGACGCAGACGACGGGAGACGACGGAGACGGGAGACGCACACGACAGGAGAGGACGCACAGCGGCTGTGCACACCGCGAATCCCGATTTCTATTTAGTACTGGTCGTGAAAGGACACCTGCCTGGGTCCCTATGTTGGTTCCGGTTCTCCCCTCCGACTCCTGAAAACCAGATCTTAGACCATGGTTCTGGATGATCTTTGATAAAGGGCACCACGGGTTCCTGGATCACATTGGTTGTAAGACCCCAACCTGGTTCCTGGTCCTCACTGGTCCTTCTGCAAGTAAAATTATGGATTCCTGCTTCTCACTGCTTCCTTTGAAAACAATAAAAAAAACTTCCTGGTTCACACTAGCTCATCCACAAAGACCAGGCCTTCGTTTGTGGCTCCCACTTGTTCCTCACAAGTACTAAAAACTGGCCGCTGGTTTCACGACTCACCGAAAATAACAGATCCCAATTACGGCCTCTCAGTGGCTCACTCGCGAGCACCACGCTGGGCTACTATTCGACAGTTCTCTATGTCACTTGAGTTGTGCCGTCTGTCATGTGAGATATGTTGCAAATTCACCCATGAGATTTAAGAATGCAAAAGGGCCATGGGTCTACCAACAACATCAACACCGAAGCTTGCAGACGGACGCCAGGTACCGTTCCCTGCCGATCACGGTCGAAGCGAGCCCCACCTTATCCTGTATCGCCCACGGGCGGTGGTAGTCCCGGGCTCTACCTCAGAGTGCGAGTCGGCTGAGATGACACACAGGACGAATACCATCGCCCACGGGCGGTGGTAGTCCCGGGCTCTACCTCAGAGTGCGAGTCGGCTGAGATGACACACAGGACGAATACCATCGCCCACGGGCGGTGGTAGTCCCGGGTTCTACCTCAGAGTGCGAGTCGGCTGAGATGACACACAGGGACGAATACCATCGCCCACGGGCGGTGGTAGTCCCGGGTTCTACCTCAGAGTGCGAGTCGGCTGAGATGACACACAGGGCGAATACCATCGCCCACGGGCGGTGGTAGTCCCGGGTTCTACCTCAGAGTGCGAGTCGGCTGAGATGACACACAGGGCGAATACCATTTTTAAAAATGACTAAGCTTCACAGCTTAGTTATTAGCTAAAACTTATAACAGCACATTGGCAGGCTCATGTCACGATCCTTCGTCTTGCATTGAAGTTTGAGGGATAAGACAGTAATAATAGTCTTATTCCCCGGAGAAAAAAAACAAGAGAGTGGGGCTATAAATGGGTTGATATTTCGGCAGTATGCCTTCATCGAAACAATGGCAGAAGTTAATTCAGAAGAGGCTGCCGATGGCCTTACTTGATTTTCAGGTTTTTTAAGCAGCAAGCCACGGTTTTACAGGACCCAACATTCAGGGGATTAAACAAAGAGCGATTGCCAGTCATTGCCACGGTACAGTGCATATCTAAGAATTAGGATACGTGAAAATGTGTGCACATGCAAACGGTTTCAAGCAAATAAGCGTCGCGCATCATGCTTCATTCAAACGTATTTGAATCAGGAAGTGGGAAATGTGATCAGGGGGACAGTCTCCACCGTCTAATGCTTTCTTTTTGGCCAACAGAATGGGGCTGTACGTCGGCGGCTCAATCGTGTTACGGTTCGTAGATGACACGCAATTCTTAGGTTGAGGGTGAAAGATCATCTACAAACTACGTTCAAGCAGCTCGTAGACTGGTTCGGCCAAAATAAGATCAACATTGATGTGGGAAAGCTCAACTTCTTGTGGTTCGCAACTAGGTCGTTTTCTGCCGACCACTGCTGCTTAGACTTTGCTTCATTATGCCCGTCAAAGTATGTCCGTTAATTCACCATAACATTAGAACCTCAAAAGTAACTGCATAGTGAGCAATGAACTCTTAGACCTTGTGGCAGGCACACACACGCCCGGGTGACTGGTCAAATACCCTTCGCTCGAGTGGGGAGTCAATTTGAGCCCCTGAAATAGCAAAACTAGGATGGCTAAGGACACCAAATTTACTGGGTAAGTTGACCTGCGTGCAAAATTAGCTGAGTTGGGGCTTAAGGTTCCTAGGTTGCGGCCTTGGGGTCAGATAAG